ATTACCGACTAGGCAGGAAAGTACAGAGATTTGGAAGAGCTGTGTTGGTGTGCATCGATTTCCATGTTGAGTTAGACCATTCTTGGGTTAGCCATGGCAGAGCTCCTTGCTGCACGTCCCAAGGGACAGCAGCTGCTGAGGGTGTCACCACTTGCCTCCTATGACCTAAGAGCCAGAGATGAGCTCCACCCAACATCATGAGTGTCTCCTGCCTCGAGCCAGAAGCAGATCCATTTTCATTTGGTGCCATCCCTGGCAAATGCCCTGTTTGCCTCACTCCCTGTGCTGTGTGTGTCCCTGCAGCCTGTGTGTGCTGGGTACGACCTGTTTGAGGAGAGGCCGAAGTTAAGGGAGTGGCGCAGGCGGGTGGAAGAAGCTGTGGGGAAACAGCTCTTCCAGGAAGCCCACGAGGAGATCATGAACGTTAAGAACTTGACTGCTGATCATTTTGCACCTGAGTTGATGGAGAATTTCAAGCAGCAGCTCCTAAAGCAGAATTAGAGGGTTATGCTTTAATAAAATGGATTATTTTTCTGAAGGCTTATTGTAGTCTTTCAGCATTTCTTCTAAAAATCATAAACACCATTCCACAAAATGTGCTTTCCTTCATTCACAGCCTTTCTGCAACTTAGAAGGGAAGAAAAATACATCTTACACTGCCATGAGCAGCTTTTTCCTCTTGTCCACTGCAGCATGGGTACAGTAGCCCTGTAGGCTTTTCTTTCATGCTCCAGCACCGCTGGATGTGTTCCAGGGCTGGCTGAGGTGATTCAGTCTGTGTGGGAGCAGGAGCACTCAGAGCTGCCCTCCCACCTCTGCTCTGAGTTTTTCAGGCCAGAGCAGAGGTTTCCTGAGGGTGTGGCAGAACAGGTGAGTCTGAAACAAGGAAACAACATTGCAGCAGATGATTTTCGCTTTGCCAAGTGGAAAGAGTCTGCTGGAAGATTTTTACTCTTTAGGAAAGAGACAGGTCAGCACCCAGCCCCCGTGGGAATCCTGCCAGGACCTTTGGAACATCTGGCCACTAGATGCTGCTGCGTCACCTGTGAGAGCAAAGGGACACAGTGCCCAGGAGCAGGGAGCTGTGCTGGTACCCAAGGGATGCCTCCAGCTTCTGGCAAGGACAGAGTCAGTAAAGCTCCTCACCCAGAGGTGAGGAGCTATACTCTATAAAGAACATTCTTCACGGTGGAAAAAAGCTGCTTTTCTTGGTCAAGCTGCTGCAAACCACACGGTTCCCTCTGCAAGCCACATCACACTCTGTCCCTCTCCCACAGTGGTTTGTCGGCACAGCAGAAACCATTTTGGCCAGGCTGTCAGCACAGAGTGCTGCTGTGGCTGGGTTAGCACTGGTAGCACGGGGAGCTGTGCAGGCCAGCCCTGTGTGAGCAGAGAGCTTGGTACATGATCTGGGGAATATCCCACACATGGTTCATGCTCCACTGTTCTTCAGTAGTCTCCATAAAGCCAATGGCTGCATTTGCCAGGTGTTGTTGCTCTGTTTGGGTTTGTAACCAGGATTTGGAAGAAAGTGGACATTAAGTCATCCTCCACACCTGTGCAACGCCCTTCATAACCATAGCCTGTGTCCCTTTGTGCCATTCCCGCTTCCCTGTTCTCCTGTCCCTGTGACCTCCCATTTCCAGGTACAGGCCTCCATGAGGAAGGTTCCAGTTTGCAGATTTGTTTTTCTCCCCTCCTTGCTAAGCTGTGTGTGTACCTGGAAGTCTGTTTGTCTCTGCTGCTGGTTACCCCATCCATGGGGAAGGCTGCACACTGTGCTAGGTGTGAGGTGTCAGTCTGAATGCAAGTCAAGTTATTGCAGCGCCCAGAAATGGTGAATGGAGCTGCTCAAAGTCTCTCACACACTTTTTCAGTTGGATCTACTGGTTTTGGGGAGTGAGCCAGCTGGATTTCTGTTTGTTTTCTGAGTAAACCTGCCCTTTAGTTCAAAGGGCCACACGAACCACAGTCTGCATTGCACATGCCTGCAGGCTGAGCTATAGGAGCCAAGCAGCCTGGTGCCTTTGCGTTCCATCCTTCCACCCTGCAGGAAACCCTCAATGTCAGTGGTAAAAAGGCACGTTTGCCCTCAAACTCTCTCCCTTTCTGCGCTGATGCATGCAGGGATATTTGTCTTCTTACCTGATGTTTTATTGGGCAATTTGTTGGGAAGGGCCTGTTGCATGCCAGTGAGCAAAGCCCATGAGAGCAGCTCTCTTCTGGCCCCAGGAGGGCTTGCATGCCTGACAGCCTGTCCTGCTGCAGCTGCCACAGTGCTGAGCCCCAGGAGGTGTTTATGTTGTACCACTTCCTTCCTCTAACTGCAGCTTTACCACCCTCCCAGCTGGGCTGCTCTGCACCCCTGCAGTTAAAGAGGTGCCTTTGCTGCCTTACCAAGGCTGCCCAGCCTCGCTGCACTCTGCTGTTGGCGTCTTTGTACCTCCCCTGACTTTCAACTTTTGCCTTTCTTGGAGAAAGCAAACTTCTACCAGCATGATAAATATTTCCCACACTTTCTTTTCAAGTATAAGCACAGCAGAGAAACAATCAAAACCAAGAGTCTATTTTGTAGGGTGCTAATCTTGACAGATCTCAAAATGGACTTAAGAGCAGAGCCTTTTGTGACACCCATCTCCCTGCAGAATCTCCAGACAGGGCTGCTCTGCATGCAAACCATTGCAAAATCCAAGGCAAATACAGTGTCTTTTTAAAACTTTTTTTATTTACTATATTTGTAGCAGAAAAGCTCCACGTAAGAACCTTGAGCCAATGTTCTGGTTGTTGGAATGAGGCACAAGGTCCTTAAATGTCACCCATTGTGCACTCCTGCAAGGACAGCTGCCTTCAAAACCAAGCTGGAGCTATGTTCAGAGCTGGTTCTCTGGTGCTCCTCCACTGCTGTTTCACAAAGGATAAGTACACTTGCCTCACTCCATCCTGGCCATGATGACAGGAAGGGATTTTAAATTGTTTTTCCCATACTTTCTGCCTGGTATATATGCAGTGACCAGTGGCATTTTGAGCTCTTCCATTCCCACAGGACAAAGCACCTCCCTAAAGTAACACCTTGGATGGCCACAGAGTTATAAAACAGATAAATCTGCCTTGTTCTTTGCTCTGATTCGTGGAGATAAGGCTGTTTATCCTTGTACTTGGCCTTTTGCTATCCCTCCACCTCTGTATTTTGTTCCTTTGTGTCATTGGATCCTGTCTGGTTCCAGTTCCTAGATTGAAAGCCCTGGGAGCTGCCTCCCAAAACCCAACGGGTTGTGCAAGAGTTTTGCTTGCCTTGGCACAAGGTCTGTTGAGTGTCTACTCCCCTTTCACCCTGAAAAGGGAGAGGGATTACACCTCCACTGTCAGCTTCACGTGTCATTTTAATCAAATGTTTTCGATTCAACTTCCTCAATTCCTGCCAGAGCTATTTGGAAATAAGTGAGAACCAGTGATTTCTGGAAGAAAATGAAGCTGTAACATACAAAATAGGAGGAATGTTTAAAAGCCAGAAAGACATCCTGAGACGAATTCTAAATGATTAAGAAATAAACTGTAAAACTTAATGCATTTTTTTTATGTCTTGTTACTGTTTCCAAAATGCTGACAGACAAAATAAGGGCAGGAAAAATGGTCTTAGAGGTGATGGAGTCAAATGAAAATACGGTGCTAGAAGCACTAGCCTGGAGCCAGGAATAATCAATCAAATGCTCCATAACACAACCAGATAAAAATACCTCTTTGGTTATGTGGGCTGTGCAGTGCAGTCAGCAAATTGGAGAAAAACTTAAGGAAGGAACATTTCCAGGCAGCACATGAAAAGATCTTTGAAGTTCAGATAGGACTAATGGATCAACTGAACCATGAATAAAGGAGCAAAGTGAACCCACACTGCTCGTATTGCTGCACACTGCTGAGATCAACACTCTTCTCAATGATTTCTCAGAGTACGGGCATGGGAGCACTTTGAAGCACAAAGACTTCTCTGACTATTTACCTGTGCAGAGCCACTTTCATGCTCCTTTTCCCCACTCCCTCAACATTTCAGATTCCTTTGCACTGAAGGAGTTTGAACTCAAGCAGCTGCCACAAGACTCTGTGAGCTGTGATCTCCAGCATATCAGTGCTGGGTGCAGGTGCTCAAGAGGCTGAACTGTGCTGCAGGGGAAGTGAAGGGGGTGCACAGCCCCTCTCCCTGTTCTGGCTGAGAAACTGGAAAATTCATACAGTGCTCTTCTAAATCTGAAAGTTCTAAACCCCTGGAAATGTTCCAGTCTGTAATTTGTCTAGTCCAAAATCTCCCAGATCAGTACCCAAGCCTTTTCACAAGAAAAAGAGCAACTGGATCCTCCAGTTTCCTCTCCCTGAGATTCCTATGGTTCTTTCCAAAGATCTGTGTGTGACATACAAGTTCTGAGGCACAGCACTGATAGCGAGGTGTCAGCACAGCTGAGGTGGGTTTGATTGGGGGTGACTTTGCCCTGAGTGGTTCAGCTGCTCTATCTCACAGGTCCCAGAAGTCCCTGTGCTCAGCCAGCATGTCACCTTCCCAAATCACACAGCTGTGCACTGAGCTCTGGGCTCAGTGCAAGTGACAAATACCAGGGAGAGGAAAGTCACTTTGAGTGAGTATGCAGATGTAATGTCCACAGAGAAGTCCTCCACACTTCACTGCCATTCAGCTGTCACCTTGCAGCAGAGACTATATGACGAAAGAATTATGTTCTGGACAGAAAGCCCTACTGAGATCTGGCAGTGCGTGACTAACACTGGCTTAGAGGGCACTGTGCAAAGGCGCTGTCTGCAGGACTGTGTTACAAAACTCAGCATTTACCTTGTGAAAGTCGTAGTGGGATGCCGTGGGTGAGCAGCTCCCACGCCCCTGCGGTGCCGGCAAAGCTGTGGAGGGGAGCGGCAGCCCCCTCTCTCTTACTGCTTAGTACCAGCCTCTCTTTTGGTCCTGGTAATGGAGCGCTACTCCCGTCATTACTCATGTTACCTTTCCTTCCCTTCCTGAAGGAAAATGAATGAACAGGATGCCAGCCACAGCGGGCCAGGGCCGCCTGACGCTGTGGGAAGGGGAACTCTGTAATCCCTGTCCCAGCTCCGGCCGTGCCTCCCTGCCCCGGCTGAGGTGGGCTCTCCTGGGGTCCTCCGGCACTCTCCGGTCCCGGCCGGGGAGGAGGGCGGGGAACACCAGGCACAGACCCCGCTCGCTCTGCTGCCGCCCGCACGGCCCGGGGGAGGGCAGGAGGGAGGGCCGGAGGGCACCTCCCGCCCGGCACGGCTCGGCCCCCGCCGGCCCGGCAGGGCGGTCCCGGGCGGTCGGCGGCAGAGCCGCGGCTGCTCCCCGCCGGGTCGGGATGGGGCTGGAGCTGTACCTGGACCTGCTCTCGCAGCCCTGCCGCTCCATCTACATCTTCGCCCGGAGCAACAACATTCCCTTCGAGTTCAAGCACGTGGAGCTGTTCAAAGGTGGGGCGGGCGCGGCCGAGGCGGCGGGGCCGGGCGGGCTCAGTCGGGCTCAGCCGGGCTCAGCCGCTCTCTTGGCTCTCGGCAGGTTCGGTGCTGGGCAGGAAGGCGGAGGGGAGCGGCGCGGAGCAGCCCCGCGCAGGTGAGCGCAGGGCAGGGGACGGGAGGGTCCCCACGGGCCGTAACGCGATCCCCGGGCGGGGGCCGGGCCGAGCCCGCCGCTGCGGCCCCGGAGCTGGCGGAGGTTCGGTCTCACCGACCCCGGGGGAACCCTTCGCCTCCCGGCGCTGGAGCTGCCCGGTGCGAGGGAAGGACGAGCTCCCCGGGCCGCCCGGGTGATGCTGAATCCCCGGCTCCAGTTCCCAGTGTAGTCCCGTAGCTCTGCTGCATCTATTTTTGCGGCTCTGCAAGGAATGTTCCTCTAGCCATTTCTAGCAAATTAGTCACTCTGACAGCCGAGGAGTGCTCTGGGAATGCTGTACTTTGCGGCAGCCCTGTTCAGGCTCCTCCAGCTTTATGACTGTTGTCCATTTAAATGTTGCGTTTTCCTGTAAATTGTTACTTTCGTGCCTAAGGCAAAGCGCGTTACTTTGACACCCTTGGTTGAAGATTAGAGGGTTGGGCAGGTATGTATGTGATTGGTAAAAAGAGTGGGATTTCCCCCCCTTCTATTTCCATAAAATCTTCTCTGCTGCTCTCTTACCCAACAATAAACCTTCTTCTCTGCACTATGACATAGGCTTAAGATTTCCTCATGTGTGTAGCCTACCCTGCTTTTTGACTGTGCATACTCTGGTTGTTAAAGTTACACCTCAAAGCCCAACAATACACATACACTGTCTGTGTATCTATAGCTATCCATATCTATCTGTACATCCATCCATCCTTGGGAGTCATCAAGAACTAATTACCCCAGATACAACTGGTATGTTAAACAGAACTGTAAGTCAAGCCAATATCACAGGAATTATAAAGATGGACCACCCAATACCACTAAACAAAAAGGCTGGCTCTGCTGGCTGGAAGAGAGGCACAAGCTTCAGTTCTGTTAAACTGCAAATACAAATATTGGTCTCTATTTTCATACGATAAGCAATGGGTCCCAATGAAGCAGCCTGGAGTTAGTGTTCACACCAAGGCATTTACCAGTTCACAGCTCAGTCAGAGTCTCAGCACAGGTCTTTTATATCTATCTACAAACCAAAGTAACTGATTCCATCCCCAGGCTGTGGTGCTGGCTGTGTCACAGACACTGAACTACTGTCCAGCCTGTTGTTAGCTCCGTCAGGGAACAAATATCCTCAGTATTCCTGCTAGAATTGCTGTATGATGAAAGCTCTCTGAAATCTGATTCAAACTGCCCTCACCCACTGCTTACTTCTCATATCCTTGTTTCTTAGTTCCCTGCTGCCCTGGATAATAAACACAGGCAGCAGGACAACCAAACAGCTGGGTCTGACGAGGGATTGCTGTTAGCTGTAAGCATCACTGACTGGCAACTTTCTACTGCATTTTTCCAAAGGCCAGGTGAACACTAGAGATCTCATCAGGTCTGGGTGTGTGGTGACCAATGGCCTTTGGGGCCATTCTAAAAGAACAAAACAAAGCTACTTCCCTGAGCAATTCCTTGCATGACAGTAACATTTGTCTTACTGTTTCTGTGATACAAATCATGGGGGTGAGACAGTCAGTACTTTGCCCACTTTTGGACATTTTTATTTTTATACTCAATTTTCTCAGTTATTAGGCTTAACATTTGCTTTCTGTCAGGCTATTATTTCAAAGAAGTCCTGCCTAGGGTTTCCTACCTCTCTGGACAGTGTTGCCTGGTTCTGCTGAGCAGATGGAACCTCTTACCCAGCTAAGCTGGAAGCCATATTCACAGCAGGCAGACAGAGACTTTTCCTAATGAAAGGGAAATGTGGGTTTGAATCCCTTCAAATCACAGATGAGTGTAAACCTTAATCTCTGATGAAACTACTTAACACTGGAATTAAAAAAAACCCCAACATTTTCTCAAAGAAGAAACAAGGTAGAGGCTACTCAGCTGGAAAGGAGACCAAGTGGAAATGTATTCTCTGCTTGATTTAACTCATTATGTGAAATCGATATAAGGGAAAGCAGTCTGTAATTGTAATGCAGCAGCCTGCCTTCTCCCAGCCTTCCCAAACCAGCTGCAAATAAACTTGTTTGTCCAGAGGCTGGTTTTATTTCCCAGAGATTATTTCCCACTGTACATTTGTCCAATAATGTAGCCACTGCTACTGCTTCCTCAATGGGTACAAATAGTTCTCAGAGATGGAGGTCACTATAAGTTAATTATTCTTTTTCTTGACTTTTTTTTGAACAAAGGGAGTTTTGTACAAGACCTCCTGCTGGTCATGCTGATTTGATCAGGATTTGCACTCTAATTGTCATGTCTCCTCAGGAGAACTTAAAACAAGCAAAGCAAACAAATTCCTCACAGCTTTTCTTACTCAGGTGTTCCTGGGCTGTTGTGCAATTCCCTGGCATTTAACTGCAGACTGGCAAGTCTGGTGCCAGCAGTGGGAAACTGAAAGCCTGATTAGATAGCCAGCTGTTAACTCCTCCAAGGGACTGTGGAGTTTAAATTCTTACAGAATGGTGTCTTCCTCCTGTGTTTTCCTGTTAGAAGTAGGTTGACATGCAGAGCCAGGAGTGACAGGGTCAGGAGTAGTGCAGGGCTGAGGTGTCTGAGCTTCCCTGCCCCTAGCCAATGTCTGTTCTGTCACTAAGTTCTGCAAGTATCCTGGTACCTGAGTCAAGCAAGAGAACTCCTGTTAAAATATAAAAATATAAACTGCTCCATGCCATGTGGCCAGTCTGAGCCTGCTGCCTCTGCAGACAGCTCTTACACTGACTCTGCCTTTTCATTACCTTCCACTTGTGAGCTATGACCCTATTGGGAAAACCTCACACTGTTCACTGGTTTTCCAGCTGGCTGCAGATATTTCATTTATCGTGCGCTGGCAGATACACTTCTGACCTCAGACTTGTCTGTTCATCTTCTTAGGGCCATCAAATAGTGAAGGTGCAGGCAAAGTCAGCCTCTTGAAGAAAGTACCAGCGCTGAAGGATGGAGACTTCACCCTTGCAGAATGGTAAGAATTCAGTCCTTAGACTTCCTTGGGTACCAGCAATCTGTGCTGCATTCAGAAGATGTCATTCCCATGGGATAATTGAGGATCACAGAATATATTAACATGCTGGTTATTTTTAATAGTATAACCTCATTTGATCTCTTTCCATTTTCTGTTTGAATTATCTTTCAGAATGTAAACAACTCAGCTGACTTAGCTTCTTCATCTCACCCTGAATGCACTTACCTCAAAATGGGATTATAAACATTTCTGGGAGATGTTTAAAGCTTATAAAAATCCCTTTCACCCTAGGAAAAGAAATCCCTTTTACTCTAGGAAAGAATTCTGTTTATCTGAATTAGTTATAAAAGCTGAGAGAACACCTACACAGATAAAATTTAGGCTTTACATTAAAAGATTATTATGGAGACTGGTTAATGATGTCATAATACTGAAACAATTGAACTATAGCAGTATCAGCATGGTAGGGGTGTCTGCATTTTCTTCCATTTTGCCAGCACATTTTCTGTGGCTTTTTTTTTTTTTTTTTTTTTTTTTTTTTTTTTTTTTTGTAGTAATAGCCTAAGTATTGTTGCAGATGACTAAGATATTTTTCCATCTGACTTATGCCAGTTAGTGAAAGTATAAACATCTGGACAAACACAAAAAGATTCTGTAGGATTTCCTTGCTGAGACTTCCACTGACTTCGGTGGAAGCTGCGTGCTGCTGGAGACAGATCTGATGAAAAGGCAGCAATAACCCATCAGAGAGTTTCATTTAGTACACAGGCACAGAAACAGCACAGGTTTCAGAGACATGGGTCAGAGCAGGCAAGGAGCAAGTGGAGTTACCATCACTGATAGATGACCATGGAGGTTCATTGTATGTTTGACCCAGCACTGTCCAGTAGCACCATAGAACAGTGCTGTGATTTTCCAGCAGGTTAAAGTTTCCATGGAAGGGCACTGATGTCAACATGAATTAGGTGCTTTTATATGGTCCCTGGACTCCACTGGAAATCCTGATTGGAATGTGTTTTAGTGGAAGAAAGAAGTTGAAAAGGAGCAGGAGAGGGAGCTTAGGCAAAACATTCTGCATCGTAACTGCCTGACCCCTTTCTTGTCTCCTGCTGACGCGTGGGCAGCACTGCCATCCTGCTGTACCTGAGCAGGAAGTACAACACTCCTGACCACTGGTACCCCTCCGACATACAGAAACGGGCCCGGGTGGATGAGTACCTGTCCTGGCACCACGCCAACATCCGGGCCAACGCCCCAAAGACCATGTGGATCAAGGTAAGGAGACAAAGTAAAAACGGGAGTAAAGTGATGTTGTGCTGTGAGAGTACTGAGCATCTTAACAGCCCCAGTTCAGAGACAAACCTGGGCCATTCCTAGCTGAAAGGAGCTGTTGGAGAGGGAGCTGTTTCAAACTGATCAACATCAGGATCTGGCAAAAGCAGATTTGACCGTTTTGGTTTTTCCCTTAAAGAAGGTCTGGTACAGAAGGTCTCAAACTCAACAGACTTTCATTGCCTGGATTTGTGAGCAAATATGTAACAGACTTAGTATTGCTTCCAAGGGCCTCTCCCTCCCTAAACAGCTGTGCAGAGTGTGCACATAGGCAGAGTTTGGCTTTGGTGAACATGTGTTTTGTTGCTGGAAGCAGAAAGTCTTGCATTCTTCATAAGAGTTCCTGCAGCCTCTTAAGGGTGGAAATGCAAAAGGAGTCCTGCTTCCAGCATGCTTATGTACTTCTCTGAAATATGCTCAGGGAGAGAGACACTGAAAGGTAAATTTTCTTTACTCAGTGTAATCAGGTCAATTTACATTTAGGCAAAATTACCTGATTCATCCTGAGCCAGAAGATCATTTAGTATCAGATGATTTTGCTGGACACCTATTTCCAGCCATCTCACCAGACAGTTAATGCAACTATCCCTAGAGAGACCTAGGTGCAAGTATAGTTCTGCAAGGACAGCTGGTATGGAATTTCAGATGAAATCAGGATTGCTAGTAAACAGGTAACTTCACTACTCCCTTGTGAAGTCTGCCCTTGTTTGTGCCTAACAAAGCCTATCAGGACTCATTTATCTCCTTGACTTTATTGATATTTGATTGTTTGGCTATAGAGTACAGAGGAGCAATTCAAATATGAGGCAGATTCATACAAGAAGCAGTTTCTTCCAGCTTCTGCATGCTGGAAGCCTGCAGTGCTCCAAGGGAAAGAAATCCAACTAATTGCTGCTGATGGTGATTACATAGCCCAGATGCAGAAAAGGTTCTCAGAATAACTGTAAATATGGAAACATATGAAGCCACCATGTAAGAAAAGCATGTTAGCTAGAAATGGGAGAAGATAGAAAATGGGAAGACAGCTCTGAGATAAGGAAAAGGAAGAAGACGCTGTTTTGAGTGATTTTATCCTAAGATCCCATCATGCATAATTGAAATCACTTAGGAAGAGAACTGACCACGAATTTTCTGATGAAATGGATTCCACATGTATTTGGCCAAAATCCTGGCTTGGATTAAGCAATCCCAACTTGAATTGTTGCATATACTAGCAGTAAGTAGAAATTCAGTTCACTCGCACTGATTGAAATTTGTATTTATAATTTTGATTCTCTAAACAAACTGTACTTCTTTAGCTGGGGAAGGTGAAGGCAGCACAGCTGTGAAACACTGGGCTCCAGTGGTGCATACACCTCTGTGACTGGTGAAAAATATTGTAGAAAGGCAACTGCCTCCTGTGCCAGCAAGTCTGTGCAGATACAAAGACTTCACTTGTGTGATTGCTTCAGAATAACTTCTAGTGGTTTAAAGAATTATGCTTTAAGCCACTGAAAGATTTGTGTAAAAGTGGTGTTGACCACTTCCAGCCTTGCTGGCTGCTGTCACACAGAGGGAGCCATTTCTGTGTCTCCGGGCATTGTTGATGAATTCCACTCCTTCTGATGCTCCTGCCTCAGCCAACACCATTCCCTCCTCTCCATCACCCTGCGGGACAGGCAGCTGCCTGCAGCACCCAGTTCCACAGCAGGGCAGCTCCTGGTAACACAGAGGATGTAGCAGGGGTGACTGTGGCAGAGATTTGTCTTCCCTAGAGCTGTTGCCTATTTTTCTTTTGTAGCCCAGCAGGGTGGAGTGGGAGGGCACAGCTGCCAGGCACAAAATGAGTTGAGGATCCTTGATTTTGTTCTGCACATTGCTGCTGATGAGCTGGAGGTCACTGCTGTGGCAGGTCACACTTAGGACTGCTGGTGTGGTCTCTGCCCAGGAGCTCTGTGGAGCTGCCACAGCCCATGAAGCTCTGCCGTCCCTTTCTGTGGCTTGATTGCAGGGCACTGATGATCATGAGGTGTAACTTCAATTACTACTACCAGAGAAGATGGTAATGTGTACTATGATGTCCCTTCTCTCCTCAGGTGTTGATTCCCCTCTTCACAGGGCAGCCACTGCCCTCAGAGAAGCTCCAGGAGGTTATGGAGGGGCTGTCCACTTCCCTGAAGCAATTTGAGGAGAGGTTTCTGCAGGACAAGGCTTTTATCATCGGGAGTGAGATCTCCCTGGCAGATCTTGTGGCCATTGTGGAACTGATGCAAGTGAGTGCCTGGAGCGTGGTGAGGAAGTGTCAGCACAAGGAAAACAGATGCTGCTGAGCAGGGAGGGGACAGCACGTGGTAACTCTTCAGTAGCAGGAGAAGCAAGGCGTATTTCAGCAGAACTGGCTTAAGACAATGGGGAGAATGTGGGAATGGGTTCAGAACAGCAATGAAAATCAAAAGAAAAAGCTGCCTGCAACAGATCTCTTTTGTTTCTCATCTCTAGCAATAACTTTTTCTTCATTTTTTATCATTACTTTATTTTTAACCTCCAGAGAAGGAGGTAATATATATAAATGAGAAGCAATAGTAGACAGGTCTGATGAAATGAAACAACCATATAGGAATATTTCTATAATTCAACAATATAATACTTGCCCATGCCATGTCTGGAAGATGAAAGAATTAAGCTCAGATAGAGGCAATCAAATTAAGTCTGTTACAAACTGTTTGTTCCCTGCCAGACCACCAGGGCCTGGATCCTTCAGCCCAGCAATGATTTTTTCTCCCAGTTCAGTGTCTAAGGGACTGAAAAACAGCAGTTCTGCTTCTCTATAGTGTGCTGCAGAGAGTGGCACAGGCAGATAGCAGATAGATTAAGTTAGTTAGGACACTGGTTCAGTTAAACACATTTTGTGCTGGGTGTTGCTGTATAATCCAGCACTTTGTACTGCAAACTGGGCCGTGGTCCCTGGGACTGCCAGCCCACCACATCTTCAGTGTCGTGGCTGAAAATCACTCACAGAATGTGGTTATCTATGCTGCCCTGAACAGCTGTTCCAGCCCCCAGGAACTGAGTTGCAAATGCCCTTTAAAATACAAAGGTGAGTTTTTGTGTCCCCCAGATAGCTACACTGACCAGAGATTTCCCTCCTTCCTACTGCTCCTCTATGAGCTCTTCGTTTTTTCCTCTTTATCTGCAAGTATACTTTTAGTGCCTGTTGTCTCAGCTAAGAAGTGACTGCCCCAAGCCTCACTGTTGCTTTCTCCCCTCTCTGCAGCCTGTTGGAGTTGGTTGTGACATCTTTGAAGACAGACCCAGGCTGAGGGAGTGGCGCAGGCGGGTGGAGGATGCTGTGGGGAAAGAGCTTTTTTTCCAAGCCCATGAGATGATCCTCAATATCAAAGAACTGAGCAATATTCAAATTGATCCACAGCTGAAAGAACAACTGGCGCCTGTGTTGATGAAGATGTTGAAATGAATTAAACTATCACAGCATTTTTCCTGCCTTTTTTTTTTTTTCCCTTTATAACTTCTTCTCTTACATCCTGTTCTGCATGTAATGGGAAAGAACACTGTAATTCTAATACAGAAATTACAGAGTGTTTCCCTGTGGGCCAGGTCTTTCTTGTGTCTTTGGGGGTGGAGGCTGGGGAATGTTTATGACCTAAAACATTAAATTTATACAGAAGGCTGAGGCCCTACAGGTCACTTAACGTGCATCTGGATTTTATTTCATGTCAGTCTTCTCAGAGATGGTAGAGACAAGAATGGTATTTCCTGACAGAATTCAAGCCAGCCTACAAACTGGGAACATTAAAGAACTGAATGGATGAGGGTGATTGTTTCCAATTTTAACATTTTACTGCAAAGTGTGCAAAGTGTGCCTCATCCTCGTCTTCTCAGCATGTGTCTGCACAGACAAGTAGAGCACAAAACTACTTCACAAAAGTAAAAAAAAAATAATTTTAAAGGTTTCTTATTGTTGAGGCATCTTGCTTGGCTGTCCATTACATTCCACATGTCTGTTTCCCTTGAAGTTCCTTTGAGAAATTTCTTTGTATTAATCTACAATGGTGAATCTTTATATTTCTTTAGTTTAACTGCTGCTTTGGATTTCTGAAAGCCTGGCTTCTGTTGGTGCTCTGTCTACAAGTGCATTCACAGTGTTTCTGTAAAAGAGAATATAACAGTACACAAACTGGGTTTATTTCTATGGTAATACTGTAATAGCACATTTCTCCTAGGAAATGCAGAGAGGGAATAAATGCAGACATGCTCTTCGGAGACTGTTTTGGATGGAAGTTCACCAAGTAAGTCACCCAGTGCAGCTGAAGTAATAAGAAAGATTTTGTGGCATTGAGCAACACATGCATCACAATAAAAGGGCAAAGAGTTCTTTTGGAGCTTTTGAGCTTTTTTTCTTGGCTGTTTGTTTCTGCTCAGTTGTAGCTCAAACACTAAATCCTTTTGTATTGCAGCACAATTTATGAGATAAAATTGAGCAAATCCAACTATTTCCAGTTTCTTCAGTTGAAAATAAAAAATTGTAAAGGATGTAGAAATTGGTGGAATATATATCATTATATTTCCGTTCATAAGTAGTTGTTGCCCTTACCCTAAAATCCTTGCCAAAAATTCTTCCTGTAAAAACTAAAACAAAATGAGTCATGGAATTCAGGAATTGCTTCTTTCACTAATCAAATAACTGTTTGCTATTTTTTTTCTTTTAGTGCTACCATATCTTGGCCAGTGACATTTTTTGCTGGCAAGTTCTAAAAAACCTGTTGTTTTCTCATGGTGTTTTTCACCAAGATTTCTGTTCTAGAAATCTTTGCCCAGCCTTCTTCCTGGCTGGTTTTGCACATAACTCTGAACCAGTATTGTCTTCACTAGCAGCAGTGAAAGCCAAGCAAAAAAAAAAAAAAAAATCAGTTAGAGAATCAGTTTTCATTAGCATTGTCTAGAATTGTAATTGTGTAATTGTAGAAAACCAATATGTCACATTATACAAGGCAAATTTTCCCAACAGTTTTGTACCTTAAATGATGAATTTTTAGTATAGCTGATTCATAACCCTTTGTTGTAAAAGAGCTTGTGGAACCTCACTGGACAGTAGCTCAGCCTCTGAGAAGCCTCTGATCTCTAGTTTGGACGCCTGTGATCTGTAGATTAGACTGGCGCTGTGAGCCAGCATGCCAAGGTCACTTACCAACTTGGGAGTTCAAAGTCCTGATTGCTCAAAGTCCTTGTAATTAATACATGTTAGATAAAGCAGTAAATCTCTCTGCTTGCTTTTTAATTTCTTGTCGTTTTGGTTGTTAAGAGAAATTACCACACTTCCATTCTCAGCCCTCCCTGCACAGAGGTGTCTGTTGTAGTGACCTGAAATGTTTTTCCATTGGCAGTAAGGGCCATCACAAAACTCATTCTAGGCATCCCTTAGTGAGATGTGATGGTTTTGGTCTCACAGCCTCCAGTGCACACCCCAGCAATGCCCATGGTGAGCCCCAAAGGCCCGGCTGTTACATTGTGCTCATGGGCATCCTGTTCCCCATTCCCCGTCCCTCCTTCCTGCCCTGACAGGGTTGACAGAGACCCGAGAAGCCCTCCTTGTCCAAAGCCTGGATAAACCCCTGACATTTCTTGTTCGTCCTCTTTGCCCCGCTCTCCCCATGGACATCACAGAATAAAGAGAGCTGAACCAACGTATATCGGGATAAGAGCCTCTTTTGGAAATCTTTGCCATCTCCTGATATCCCTCCCCTCAAAGCCTCGGATCTCTGGGCTAGCCTGATAATTTAAGGGGCTGAGAGGGGGGAGAACACCACCCGCAGGCAGTCTGTGCGGCTGGGCTGAAGCGGAGTGACCCGCCTGAGGTCGGCGGCGGAGCGGGAGGCGCTGCCGGGGCTCCGCGGTGCCGCGGGCGGTGCCGGGGCTGAGCCCGCCCCGCCGCCGGGCGGCTCTGGGGGCGGGCCGGGGCCGGGCGGGCCGGGGGCCGGGGGCGGGCCGGGGCCGCGGGCACAGGCGGTGCAGGCCGCGGGCACAGGCGGTGCAGGCCGCGGGGCAGCAGCGCCATGCCGTTCGTGGAGCTGGACACCAGCCTGCCGGCCGAGCGGCTCCCGCCGGGGCTGGCGCAGACCCTGTGCGCCGCCACCGCGGACATCCTGGGCAAGCCGGCGGAGGTGAGCGGGGCCGGGCGGGGGGCGGCGGGGCTGCAGGCGGCGGGGGCTGACGGTGGCTGTCCCGGCAGCGGGTGAACGTGACGGTGCGGAGCGGGCTGCCCATGGTGCTGTCGGGCTCGGCCGAGCCCTGCGCCCAGCTGGTCGTCTCGTCCATCGGCGTGGTGGGCACGGCGGAGCAGAACAAGGGGCACAGCGCCCGATTCTTCGACGTCCTGACGGCGCAGCTGGGTCTGGGCCCCGATCGGTGAGTGCGGCCTGGCGGGGGGCTCGGCATGGGCACCGCGCTCACCCCAAGGGCAACGAGAGCGTCCTCCCATCGGGCCTACAGGCCTGTGTGCTCCATGGACATGGAACACGACAAACAAGCGCCGAGGGGATGTTCAGGGCACTGGAGATAGTGGCAGTTCCCATGTCCTCCAGGAGACTAAGCTGTAATACAGATCCAAGACGACATTGTAAACACTAAGTGCTCGGGGATGCTGAATCCCTGACATGTGGTTTGGAACCAGATAAAACTACAGACTGGTATGCACTTGTTGAACAGTCTGGGCATTACTGTTCTCTGAAGATCAGTAGTTACAGTTGGTGAAACTGCTGTGAAACGCCACTGGAATTGGTAGAGCTTCACCCTGCCAGGGTGTCACCCTGCCAAATGCTAGAACAAGGCTGTTCCTGAAGGTCAGCCATGTCCATCTCTGCTTGTCTTACCCATCTCCCCAAAGGAGAGTGATAATAGTACTTCCCTGCCTCTTGGGTGCTGTCAGGATAAATCCCTGGCAAGATTATGCACTATGTGAATCCTTCTGAAATGGACGAGTATGACATTGAAAGTGTTGAAATACAGACTGCTTTCGTTTGTATGGGTGAAGTGTGTTTGTACCCTGACCCATACACAGCTTATGTTTCCTTCTGTTAAATGAACACCCTGAAGTGTAAGACAGAGAGACCCTAGTGCAGATTTTCTACTATGTTACAAACTGGGCAGCAATAATTGTAAAATTATGTTTCTTGTCCATATTTTTGCTTTATACCCAAAAGGATTCTCATCCGCTTTTACCCACTGGAGCCCTGGCAGATTGGCAAGAACAGGACAGTCATGACATTCCTGTGATCCTTGGAGCGGCTGCTGGAACAAAGCCATGATGAAGGCAACCCAGAGATGATCAGCTCTGTCTGTCTACTTGTTTCCTCTTGTGATCAAATCTGTGTAGTTTGATTCACCTTTGTCTTTGCATCCTGTACACACAAAGCTCAAACATGAGGCAATCAACTGTACTGGTTTTACTGAAATAGTTCAAAGTCTTTGTCTCAAGCTCAGGCCTAGACAAAGCTGCTTGTAGCTGTAAAAAGTTTAATTCTAGAACTTTTGGCTTTACAGAGGACCAGAAAGGTTCTGAGGTTTATCTAGTTTTTCTCCCAGTTTGAAAGGCAGAAAAAAATCCTTTTTTCTGTTTCACTGTGGCAGCAGAAGGGTCTCAGGCCAGCAAAGATGACCTGGAAGTCAAATTATTTTATTTTTCAGGTTCCCCTGAAAGCCCTTTCTGGAAAGAGAGGTGATTACTGGGAGAGTTTAGGCATTGCAGGCTCATGTCAGATCTTGCGTTCTGTCGTTGCCACCGCCTGTGACTGCTCCTGCAAAGTGTTCCTTGTTCACAAAGTTTCCAGGGCTCAATGTCTGTCTGCTGATGACAGTGTCTGGAGGAGGGAGTCACTTCTAAAGACCTGCACTGTGCCACCAGAAAGTACTTTGAAGTTTCTGCTACTGCCTGCTTTAATTCCTGTTGTTCACTGTTCAGAGTTCTTTTCCTCACTGTTATGGGCGGTTTTGGGATGATACAGCATTTCACTGTGATCTGTGGCTGATGTTTCCGGCTGTGTCCCTGCAGAGAAGTGTTTTAGGTTTTTAGGACCCATATACTCCCTGACTTTATAACTAGAATACACAGGGCATTTTATTAAAATGAAAACAGGGTACTTTTTGTGTACAATGTTGCCTCTGCCTTCTGCTGCTAATAAAGTAATGTATCAGTTCCCTTTCACTGTGTGAATTGGTCAGCTGGAGGTCAGGGAGCTCAGCAGAACTGAGAGCACATCCCTGGGACATGGGGGTGCATGAGAACACAAGGCTGAAGAGGGCTTCTGTGCTCCTTCATCATTCTAAATGGAGTTTTATTTGTTTATGGCTTGAAGTATCTTCTAGTTACCATTTAATTGTTCCCTATACACCGTAAATAACTTCTATGTTTGACAAATCTGACAGGAATACAATACCAAACACAAATTTGTGTATCAGGCTGGGGGGCTACACTTTATCTGGTTAATAAACTGTAGCAAAGCTTCTTTTGATAAGTATCAGTTTACTGGCTCACAGCACTGGGGGTTTGTAGGTCTTAAGTGCTTGGAGACAGACATTGTGGCTGCCCTGGACTCTCCACTTTCTCCGGGGATCTTTTCAATCAAAAGTTGTTGAAACTCAGGCAACGACCAGGTAGGTGAGAACACTGACTCAACAGTACTGTGGTGCAGAGAAGGGGGTGGACAGCCCTGGCTTTGCACCAGCTTGAGGTGAATATTCCAAAATGCAGAAAATAATCTCACTTTAATTCTGATCTGCAGATGGTTCATTTCCTGGAGGTCCTTCTGCCTCCTGAAGTAACATCCACAGACCCTTGCCAAAACCTTTGTTTCCTTCAGACAAAACTTGCTCAGCCCTGGGCCCCAGCTCTCTTGGTTTTGGGCCATGCTGGCCACCCCTGGGGATTTCTGCAGACTCTGCTTTCCTCACTCTTGGCTGCTCCCAGTGTGGGTTTGTGCCTGGGAACAACTTCCCCAGGATTGCAGAGTTGAGCAAGAAGATGTAAGAAAGTTCATGTTGATCTGAAGAAATGGCCTATTTTTTATTTCATGAGCTAATGTTGGGATAGGTTTGACAGTAATTTGGGACTCAGGAAGCATAACCTGCAAAATGGTTATGCAGGCCCCTGGAACCCCCCCAAGGCAGGAACACATCAACCAAATGAAGCAGGAAAAGTTTTCACTCTTCAGGTTGGAGAAAATCAGATACACCACCCTTATCTATGGCTCAGCAATGACATTATAAAATCCCTTTCCCTTGCATGCAGATGGTCCCTGTTCCATGGGCTGGAGCCTGCCTGACATCTGGAGTTAGTAGCTCCCAGCTATGGTTGGTCTTTTTACTGTTGTAACTTCCCAGGCTCAACCTCCTAAGGTTAACAAATATTTCTGCTCCCGAAAGTGGCCTCTGTTTTTTGACAGTGTTCTATAGGCATATGTTCAAATTGAAAGGCAATGCCCTGATTTTGAACATTGAGTAACCATTTCCTAGCCTCAAACCTTTGGACTTTGGACAATCTT